ATAGACCCTGAGATTCTAAACCTTGAAAGAAGTCCCCAAAATGTGTAACTACAACCTAAGCCTTGAGTAAGGAGAGTGGAAGGTCATAGAGAGGAGACCTCGGAGTAAGGTCGTTCCTGCAACTTTCATGAAAGACCTTGAGAACGTTCACTGCCATGTCTATCAAGCAGAAACCCAAACAGTAAACATAAACTATGCACAGCCTGAAAACAAAAACAATTTTAATAAAACAAAAACAATTTTAATAGATATTTAAAAACAATTATGATATTAACAGATATTACGTATCAAAATAAAGTTTCTAAGGTCATCCCTCTCAGACCATCCTTTTCCTCAATTTTACTTCCTTGATCCATTCTAATCATTCTATTTCCTATGTGTATTACTATTTTCAATGAACCATTCCGTTTCCTTAAATGTATCTTCCTTGATCCATTCTCACCATTCTGTTTTTTAACTATATCTTCCTTGATCAGTCTGAACCATTCTGTTTCCTTATATGTATCTTCCTTGATCCATTCTCACCATTCTGTTTTTTTAACTATATCTTCCTTGATCAGTTGAACCATTCTGTTTTCTTATATATGTCTTCCTTGATTCACTCTCACCATTCTGTTTTTTTAAACTATAACTTCCTTGATCAGTCTGAACCATTCTGTTTCCGTACGTGTCTTCCTTGCTTCATTCTCACCATTTTGTTTTTTTAAACTATAACTTCCTTGATCAGTCTGAACCATTCTGTTTTCTGATCTGTATCTTCCTTGATTCATTCTTAACATTCTGTTTTTTATCTCTATCTTCCTTAATCCATTCTTGGTATTCTCTTTCCCCATCTTCATCTTCCTTGATTCAATTTAACCATTCTGTTTCCTCGTCTGTATCTTCCTTGATCCATTCTAATCATTCTGATTCCTCGTCTGTATCTTCCTTGATCCATTCTAATCATTCTGTTTCCTCGTCTGTATCTTCCTTGATCCATTTTAATCATTCTGATTCCTCGTCTTTTTCTGTCTAGATCTATTCTAATATTTTTTTTTTGGCATATAGAGGTACAAATTTTAGGGAATCCGGAATTGATTTATAAACGTTATTTTGATCAGTAATTTTCTATCTCATAATTAAATACGAAATAAAATCGCCAATAGAATAAATCGCAAATTATACAGAGTTAGTCGGATAATACTTGAAATATCTTAATGTCAACTTCGTAAATTTGTTATGCTCCTTGAAAGCAAATTTCTACACAATGAGGCTATATGGAATTTTGGGTTTAAAACCCATCTAACTAATAAACTATTCCTAAAGAAAATTTAATCTTTTTTCTCCCCCCCCCCCTCCCTACCATAATAAGTACATTGAAAGAGTTCATCAAATTAAATTTTTAGGGAAACTTTTTTTATTAAAAGATATCTATAAAATGTAGTTATCTCTATTTGTCTGTGCGATCATAACTCATAAATCCCTGGACCGATTTGCCTCAAATTTTGATTTGGGAAAAACTCCCTGCAAAGCTGGGTTCTAACTCTAAGGCTAGTTGTTTTCAAATTAAAGTAATTTAAATGCGACCCACCCCCCTCTTAGTTTTTGCTCTTGCACTCTCATTTGTGACAGATTTTTAACTCTTGAAAAGCCATTAGAAATTATCAATCGAAAATTATCAATTTTGAGATAGAAAATCAAGGACATTCAGAGATGAAAATTGTTCTGAACACGAACGATATTGAGATTAGTACCAACACGAATCCACCACAGGAAGTAAAATTCTTAAAATCAATATTTATGATCTGTCATCAGAGCTGAAAACTTTAGTATGTGAAATCCTTAATCCTGATCGGTAAATTAATCTGGAGATTAATAACAAAAGGAGAATAAGCATGTAGTTAATCTTGAGATTAAGAAAAAGAGTGGATCAAACATTGATCCCGATATTCACCATTCAAAAGTTCCCAGCTCAGGTCTGAAACCAAACAGGAACCGGAACTTAAAATATAAAAAAAAATACAATCTATACACAAAAAAAGCTAATAACTTATAAACCTGTGGCAGAGCCTAACTAATCAAAGGGACTGCAAGCGTAATTTCAAGTGACCCTCCATGCAAATTGACAATGTCCGATTTACAACGGTACCCTTGAAAGCTGTCTGATCAAGTCGAAATTAAATTTCAATGTGTTTGTTTCTTTAAGCTGTTTATTTTCATTTCCGGTTCCTCTGTAAAAATGTTAATTGCATAACATTTTAGAAGTGCCAGGGTCAGGATTCCCAGGATAATATGTTGGGATTAATGTTTCAAGAATCATACATGTAAATGTAGCATGATGAACGAATACCACAAATTTCTTGTTTTTAAGAAGCAATTGAGAAACTCACAGAAATTAACACTTTTTGTCTGAGGAAAACGAAGGTGTCTTCAACATTTATCAGATTAAGGTTTCAAGGGTACCATTATAAATCGGACATTGCCATCTTTCCATGGATGGTCCCATAAAATTATGTATTTTTAAGAGTATTTTATCAAATTAAACTGTTAAATTTTTCAATATCTTAGAATTATGGGGGGGGGGGGATTATTACAGGATAACTATGTTGAATGATACCAATGGAAGAACACAAAACTGGCTAAATTAAGACATCTGTGGGCTTTACTAAAATAAACAGTCAGTTCAGCCAATTCAAATCCATTCAAATAAAGCGTACAGACCTTAAATACATTATTATTAAAAGATATTGTCCTTTAAAAATAATACTTGACGATAAAAAAAATCTTTGTTTGTGTGATAAATATAGATTGGAAATTAAAGGCTTGTCTAGATCTATTCTAATATTTTTTTTTTGGCATATAGAGGTNGTAAACATTTAAAAAACTTTACATCGCTTAAAATTTTTTATTGCCGAAAGTGAAAAAAATAAACTTATCCCTTAATACTAAAATAAAATACTTGTGTTAATCAAAACTTTCTGTAAATCATTTTGTTTCAGAAATAGATTTTCACAAATCTAAAATATTTTTTAGAGAAAAAAAGGTCTAGCACATTGTAACTTTGGTATATTTTAAATCATAGACACTTTATCTTTAACAAATAAATTCCTTTATTTACTCTGCTAGTGCTTGCAACTGTAAACATTGAACATGTATCGGAAACCGAAATTCATGAACAGGTTTTTTTTTCAATTTTGTAGAAAATAGAATTATAAATTTCTTAAAGTTTATTTCTGCTTCATATGAATATAATCTACACAAACAATAAGAATACAAATAAAAGTTTCTCAAAAAGTTTTGTAATTTTGTTTATTTATATTTTCGGTTCTGGTACTCGTGAGAGTGAAAGAGGTTGTGCAGCTGTATGAGATTGGCAAAGAAGATTTTTTCTATTTTTAAGTTTTGTAAAAAAAAAAACAATAAATTAAACCCTGTTCTGAATAAAGTTTTAAAATATTGTCCTTAATGTCTAACCCTCTATGTTAAATGACTGGAAGTTAGATTTTAATACGTAACCAGAAAAATAGACAGGGGCGGATACAGGATTTAAGTGAAGGGGGGGGGGGCAATTTTTAGGAACAAAAAAATTAAAAATTAGGAACAAAAAATCGCGGCGCAGGCGAAATTTTTTGACTTAAAAAGACTCAAAGAGTCAAAATTAATGACAAAAGCCTAAAAAACTAGATTTTTAACTTTTCACACATTATAGTTTATTAAGACAGATATTTTTCCTATTTTGCACTGGGGTTACTTTCTCTTAAGCATGCTATTGAGAAGCTATTCTGAAAATAGGAACAAAAAATTCCAAATACAGGGGTGGCGAATGTCCCCCCGCCCCTGAAAATAGAGTTATTGATGTTATCTCTAATAAGAAAATATCGCTGGGAATTTGTAATTTGTAATTGCTTTGTCTTAATGTCCAAAATTTTAACGAGAATATTTTAAGAAATGCTATTATTTTAAATTACTAACTATAAAGCAATATTTGTTAGATATAAAAGAATAACGACTTCAAAAATACTCTGGGACATAAACTTTTGAATACAATAACAAACCGAATGGTTTAAAATCAAAGTAGTTGAACTAGCCGTGTTTTGGCTTTTATCATCGTAAACAATTTTTGTCTTATTTCTCCAGTATTTGATTTCATAATTTTTTTGCCTCAACCTGTGCTCAAATTTAAATGAACTCTACATATTCTATAGTGTACATATTCTATAGTTTCAATCCAGTTGATTATTTAATTGGAAAAATTTATTTAAGCGACGACCTGTACGAAGATTTACACTGGTACTAATCTCACAAGATTTGGATTTAGATAAGCTCAATGTAGTCCAATAAATATATATCAGATTAATCTTAAAATATAGTTGATTAACTGATATTAATTAATAGTGTGATGAGGCGTTAATCTTCTGTGTAAATACAGAAAAAGAAATGTTTCGAAATTTTTCTTCTTAACTTTTTTCCGAAATAAGTTTCAAGACAAACAAGAAAAGATGTCGAAAAGTTACTATTTAAATACTAAAAAAAATTAGAAGTAGCGGGTATCCCAGTTTAAAGTTTTAGACAACATTTTGAAAAACATAGCAGAACATGTTTTACTAGGCTAACAACTATTATTAATGATTTCCAAAAGTAATCTCATGAAAGCTAGAAAAGATTTTTCTCCAGTTTACTCTTATTACTCTCATTATTTGTCTCAATTAAGGATATCAAAGAGGGGGATCGAAAGAATTCATCAAATGTCGTATTCTTCACTTTCTGATAATGGAATGTTGCAGATATTTAGTTTTTTAATTAAATGATTATAAAACTGTTCCCGCATATTCATGGGTATTTAATTATTTTCGCAAATAATGAAATCTACGTAAAATAGTATAAAACTCGTGGAAAAATTGTCAAGACGACATTTGATAAATTCTTCCGATGTATTTGTTATGAACGGTTTCACTGTATAATAAATAATTTTATCTGGAAATATTTCCTCACTTCTTATCTCTTCCCCACTGTAGTCCTCGAGAGGAAAACATATTTTATAGAATATTCAACATCATTTACAAATTGGGTAAATCCAATATTTAAATAATAGTTTACAGGATGTTTCCTCAAACTTAGTTGACACGGGTGGTAAATTTACATACTACTAAATAACATCCTTGAATCACATTTATACAGGATAGTGGAACAATATTTTTTTCGTGAAACGGCATTTAAATTTTATTAGATGTGTTCTAACAGAAACATGGTAAGAAAAATTTTAACAAAATAAATTTTCAAAAGTAATTCTTTACTTGCTTATGATTTCAACAGTTTAATAAGATATTTAGAGTTTTGAAATTATTTAGAGTTGCTGTTTTTGTGTACACTGATAATTCAGATTTTGTGTTTGAAACAAATATAAATAAAAAATCGTTTATCAGGAAAAAAGCTTACTTACTTGCAGAAGACATCTGAAATCTTATCGTTGTTTAAAAATCAATATTTTTATTCGTATTCCCGAAACATTTCAGAATTACAAATTGTTACGAAACATTCAACACATCGTACATGGATTGGGTAATGTAGTACACAGCCAAATGGACTGCACTGCACCATAGTTACAGCTGTACATGATTCCGATAGTGCACAACCGTGCATATTCTAAACTTGTACAATAAATGAAAAACCAGAAAATTAACAAGAATAAGATGCAACATTTATATTTATATGATTAGGACCTTAAGGATCCTAGTTTACCTTTGATAAATCAATCCCTTGAAACTAAGGGAGTATGTGAGGAAGGGATTGGGAGGGATTGGTGTTACCATGAACCCCTTCCCCCCCTCCAGGGTCTTCTACCCCTCTCCATTGCTCCTCGCCCTACCCCTCCTTCGGGTGTGTGACCTCCAAATCCACCGCGGTTGAAGCTCCCTCGGCCTCGGTCAAAACCTCCACTGCCGCGGTTAAATCCGCCACCGCCTCGATCAAATCCTCCACTGCCTCGTTCAAATCCTCCACCACCTCGATTAAATCCTCCGCTGCCTCGTTCAAATCCTCCGCCCCCTCGATTAAATCCTCCACTCCCGCGGTCAAATCCTCCACCGCGATTGAAATCAGCTCGCCCACGTCCTCTGTCACTAGTAAAACCTCCGCCTCGGTTCATAGTCACTGCATCATTGTTAATCCCACTTCCGCCATTATTCATTCCTCCGCCTGGACCCAAGTTAACTCCACCTCGATCACTGTTCATTCCAGCGCGTCCATAGCCGCCCCCACGAGGAGAACCACGACCTCTATCTCCCCAAAACATCTTTTCTGGTGAACTGTTGGTTCTCTCAAATCCAATTCCACCACCACGGCCACGGAACCCACCTCGAGGTGACTCTCCAGGGGCGGAGAACCCTCCTCTATTCCCTCGAAACGTATTGAAATCACTGTTGAGCATATCCTGGTTTATTTCTCCCTGGAATCCAGGATTAGAACCGTGCACTTGTCCTTGGTTGAACGAGGATCCGGTATTTGGAAACTCATTTTCGAACCCAGGATCCATGTAATCCTGATCTGAGAACGGATTCAACGAGTCATCTACCATCCGAGGATTCAATTCCTCGTCTCTGAATGAATTGTTAGCGGAGAAAGGAGGGACTTGAGGGGTAACGAGTGAATTATTTGAACTGTTTGAATTGTGCGAGTCGGCAAGGTTTGGAGGTTGGTTTATCAATGTTTTCCTCACAGGCTCCGAGTTAAAGCTGGGCGGAGGAAAAGAATGCAAAGCAGATGAATCTCCCCCTTTGAGACTATTAATCCATCCGCCTTTATGATTTGTAAGTGGAGGCGGAACAGAAAAAGGCGGAGGAGGAACTGTAACAGTATCCGCTGGTTTAAAACTGTTAGGTCCAGGGACAGGTAAACCTGCCTGAAAGGGCCTGGTGCCCCCGGGGAAGGGAAGGGGTGGAGTGGTGGACTCCCTGTCTCCGGCAAAGCTCTGGTTCCATGAATTCTCAAGCTGTGCATCTCTAATCTCTCCTTCCTCATCATCACTGAGATCCATATCCTCAGGGTTCCGACTTTTACCAACCAGTCCTGAAATAATTCAGGAGAGTTTATAAAATAATAAAAGACTGACTTAGTAATTTTTAAAATCTCCCTAGCCGACGATTTAAAAAATTCAAGAAATATGACTCAGGTCTAAGCTCTCATTTGGGCCTTATTTACGGCTTAAGCTATCGGATTTAGGTTGCATCTAATTTTTCACAAAGTTGAGTTCATAAAATCAGTTTAATATTGTATTTGGCGGATTTTGATGATTGGAATTGGCGCGGTCCGGGTTTTGATGAGAACAAGACTCAACATTGAGCATTATTCTCCACCAAAACCAACCAAGGTCGGTATTATTTTCATTGGACCTAACTCCTCGAGTCGAGCCGAAGTTTTTGCAGCTGTTGGGTCGAAGATTGGGTCTTAAAGTCGGGTTTAAAGAATTACGACTCGAGCCGAAGTTTTTAAAGTGAGATTTTTCAAATATCCCGATGAAAGTGAGATATTAAAATATCCCGATGAAAGTGAAATTTTAAAATATCCTGGGGAAAGCGAGATATTGAAAATAGCCTGATGAAAGATAGATTTATAAAATAGCCTGATGAAAGTTGGACTAATAAAATATCCTGATGAAAGTTAGAAAATATCCTGATGAAAGTTAGATTTATAAAATATCCTGATGAAAGTTGGACTAATAAAATATCCTGATGAAAGTTAGATTTATAAAATATCCTGATGAAAGTTGGACTAATAAAATATCCTGATGAAAGTTAGATTTATAAAATAGCCCGATGAAAGCTAGATTTATAAAATATCCTGATGAAAGTTAAATTAATAAAATATCCTGATGAAAGTTAGATTTATAAAATAGCCCGATGAAACCTAGATTTATAAAATATCCTGATGAAAGTTAAATTAATAAAATATCCGATGAAAGTTAGATTTATAACATAGCTTGATGAAAGTTAGATATATAAAATATCATAACAAAAGTTAAATTAATAAAATATTCTGATGAAAGTTAGATTTATAAAATATCCTGATGAAAGTTAGATTTATAAAATATCTTTGCTTGCTATTAAAGCTGAATGGTATATGTAATTAGATTTGCTGAAATGTCGTCTTCCTAAATTTCAACTGTAAATAGCTTACTTACCCTTCCGCCTCCCCCTTCTATGGGGAACTAAAGTAAAGATTTATCACACCCCTTTGTGTATCTGTGTAAAGTAAACTACAGGATACAATTGCACAGAAGTCAGAAATTTTATGTAGATTATCGTTAATCTTGGAATGCTTAATCTCGATATCCGATATGGGCACTTCCGCATGATCTAGATATCTAGTGTGGGTACTTTTGAATCTGAGAAGATGAACAACACAAAAGTTCTGACTTCTGGTTTACCTGAATCTCTGACTACAGGGGACCCTGTAAGACTGATTAGATTGGAACCACCGGGTGTATTCTAAAACATATTAAAAATGATAATTTAAGGAGTTTCCCAAAAAGATCACTGTTGATTGATCCTTTATATTTAAACCAGAAATTGTCTTCATCGGTCTCTTCTTGGTTTTATCTACTTGATTCTATCAAAACTGAAAATCTATCCAATTAAGTGAAACACATTGCGTCTCGACTACGCATGTCCTTCAAGTAAAATTTATTGTCCATGTTACCGAAAGAAATATGGGTTCCATGATTTTGTATTTTTTCCGTAAAACTTAACAATCCTTTAAAAAAAAACCAACTATCGCTTACTAGGCATACATTGATGCTTTTTTTCCTGAAAAAAAATTTGAAAAGGGAAAATCAATCATATTTTGATTAAACAATCCACAAAAGTATAACAATTATAATCAAACCTTGCTTGCGGCTTTCCTTAATCGTTCCAGCGCTTGATTTTCCACAATCTGAACCTCTTCATCTTCATCAACCTGAACACATAGTCCATTATCATCAACCTGAACATATAGTCCGTTATCATTAACTTAGACAAATAGTTCATTATCATCAACCTGAACACATAGTCCATTATCATCAACCTGAACATATAGTTCATTATCATTAACTTAGACAAATAGTTCATTATCATCAACCTGAACACATAGTCCATTATCATCAACCTGAACATATAGTTCATTAATCATCAACCTGGACAAATAGTTCAATATCATCAACCTGAACACATTGTCTATGATCATCAACATAGTTCATTATCATCAACCTGAACACATAGTCCATTATCATCAACATAGTTCCAAATAGTTCATTATCATCAACCTGAACACATAGTCCATTATCATCAACATAGTTCATTATCATCAACCTGGACAAATAGTTCATTATCATCAACCTGGACACATAGTCCATTATCATCAACTTGAACAAATAGTTCATTATCATCAACTTGAACAAATAGTTCATTATCATCAACCTGAACACATTGTCTATTATCATCAACCTGTACACATAGTGCATTATCATCAACCTGGACACATAGTTCATTATCATCAACCTGAACACATAGTCCATTATCATCAACCTGAACAAATAGTCCATTATCATCAACCTGAACACATAGTCCATTATCATCAACCTGAACACATAGTCCATTATCATCAACCTGAACACATAGTCCATTATCATCAACCTGAACACATAGTTAATTATCATCAACCTGAACACATAGTCCATTATCATCAACCTGATCACATAGTCCATTATCATCAACCTGAACAAATAGTTCATTATCATCAACCTGGACAAATAGTTCATCATCGTCAACTTGAACACATAGTTCATCGTCATTAACCTGAACACATAGTTCATTATCATCAACCAGAACAACTAGTTTATTATGATCAACCTGGACACAAAGTTCATTATCATCGACTTGAACACATAGTTCATTATCATCAACTTGAACAAAAAGTTCATTATCATCAACCTGAACACATAGGTTCATTATCATCGACTTGAACACATAGTTCATTATCATCAACTTGAACAAAAAGTTCATTATCATCAACCTGAACACATAGGTTCATTATCATCGACCTGACACATAGTTCATTATCATCAACTTGAACAAATATAAAAAGTTCATTATCATCAACCTGAACACATAGGTTCATTATCATCGACTTGAACACATAGTTCAATATCATCAACTTGAACAAATAGTTCATTATCATCAACCTGAACACATAAGTTCATTATCATCAACCTGAATACATAAGTTCATTATCATCAACCAGAACACAGTTCATTATCATTAACCTGAACACATAGTCCATTATCATCAACCTGAACACATAGTTCATTATCATCAACTTGAACAAATAGTTCATTATCATCAACTTGAACACATAAGTTCATTATCATCAACCTGAACATATAGTTCATTATCATCAACCTGAACACAAAAGTTTATTATCATCAACCTGAACACATATGTTCATCATCATCAATCTGAACACATAAGTTCATCATTATCAATCTGAACACATAAGTTCATTATCATCAACCTGCGGAGGAAACTTTAGAATGGTGGATATCAGGATTAAGGCTTAATCCACTCTTTTTCTTAATCTCCAGATTAAATATTGCTTGTTTTCCTCATGACTTTAATCTTCAGATTAATTATCCGACGGGATATCTGGATATTTCATTCTAAAGTTTCCACCTCTGAACACATAAGTTCATTATCATCAACCTGGTAAAAAAACCAAAGCAACCCTGATCTATACAAATTGTTAATAATTTTACTGCGTTATTAATTTGTAAAATAGACTCATCAAACGTGTATTTTGTCTGTTATAAACTTATGACTTAACAAATATCTTGTTTATGTTTGTGTTTTGATTATTCGCAGGACTCCTGGACTCTAGTATATAAGAGAAATTCTGATTATTGTCAGGATATTCTTAGAGATACGTAAATATATCATTTTTAGGCAGATAGTCAATATTTACGCATATCCAACACATCAAACTTAAAAATAAAAGATTTTTTCTGCAGCGAAAAATAATGCCGTTTGAAAGGCAAGCTTAATACTTATGCCTTTTTTGATACAAACATATAAAAATAACGAAAAGGACAAACAAAAAACTAACAATCGAGCTAAAACCAAAAAGTTTGTGTAGTTTGCAGTTAGCAATCCAAAACTTTATCAAATATGAGTTTGACCCTATTAAACGATCAAACGTTAATAACCCCTAAAAAACTACTACTTGTCTGTTTTTTGTTGTATTGTTTGTATATAATAAATTTCAAAACGGCTGAATCGATCAGAGCTGGAAACTTTAGAATGGTGGATGATATCGGGATTAATGCTTGATCCACTTTTTTTTAAATCTCCAGATTAAGTATGGCTTGTTCTCCTCATGTTATTTATCTCCAGATTAATTAACCGATCGGGATTAAGGATATCCCATTCTAAAGTTTTCAGCTCTCAGATGTATGTGACTCCTCGCATTACAACCCCGGGAAAGTAAACTTTTTGGGAATCCACAAACGAAACAGGAAAATCTGCGAAACCTCGTTTCACTTTGTTATCATATAAGAAATAACAAAAAAGCCATAATAAGCAGAACCCATTCAAAAAAACCTTTTTCTGCTTGAAAAGCAGCATTCAAGCAGAAACACTAAATTATAAAATATATTAACATGCGCAAGTAAGGAATCATGCACAAATAAGGAAAAAAGGAACAGTCAGTCAGACCTGCAGCCAGTCAGGAACCGGTTCCCTCCAGACCTCCTGGGCCGGGCTAGAGATCAGAGTGTAAACACTCTGATCCTCCGGTGGGAGACAGGATACAGGGGATTTAGAACGTGGGTCCTTAAATTGTACTTTTGAACTCAATATTCCAAGAAATAAAGTTCCCATTTTTCCTCAAATAACCCTTTTTTAACCTGAGTTAAAACATAGATTGTTTTTAATCTTTGTGAAGAAACAATCTCAAGAACTGACGAGGGTCAACCCAGACCGAAATATATTTTCAATAAATGTGGAACTAACATCTACTTTTTTACTCTACAGAGGTTTGGTCCATCAACCATCACTGAATTTTAAATTAACCTGAGTATAATCAGTAGAAAGCGCTCTAAAAGTAGGTTACGTGACGACAATTTTAACAATAATTATTCTCTTGTGAATTTTAGGTTTAAAACAACCTAATAATTAGATGCGTGATCTAAATATTTTATCATTTAAAGTTTTGTGAAAATGTTTTAAAATGATAAAATACTTGAAATAATTTTGCACTGAGAATCAAGAAATTAGTTTAATCTCATTCTAAGTTAAGTTTATAATATGGTATGAATTCATATTTTTATTGTTTATAATTTTACCCGTCAAAGAAACAATAGACTTTTTCAATGGGATAACATGATGTTTAATTTTATTTTTATTATTATTATTTTATTATAAAATGGGGTTTGAAGATCTAGGGGGAAAAAATTAAAATGACATGAAGGTAAGTTTCTTAATACTGTTTTTCCAAAAGTTTATTTATTTTCCCAAATTCAGCGAATAAACCCATAAGATCTTCGCTCCGCGCAAACATACCTAACTTCTGAGGATTTTCTAAAGAAGGGAGGGGGGGGGGGGAATGATTTTTCTTGAAAATATACAGTCTACTGCCCTGTTTAATTTTACTTACGGAAAATAATGTTATCTATATACCTGGGGATACAAGTTTTCCTTATAGCCTTGGTCCCAGTCTTGTGAGAGCTTAGGAGGCGGGGGGTATTCTGGAACGGAGCTCTTGTTAGAGATAAGGTCTGGAACAGAGCTTAGCCTGGAGAATAGGTCTGGAACGGAGTCCAGAAGTGGGAACCCGTCTATATCACTGTCGGAGATCCTTCGGCGTTTCGAGTCTCCGTTTTCTTCGTGCCGATATCCCTGAAGATCTAATCGCTCGCCGTGCGCGATTTTAGTTAGAAAATCACTTATATTGTTTCGAGGGATCGTCATAGCTTCTCTCTTTATGTCCCTCTCCCGATCCTCACGATCACGCGATCGGGAGGAACGATCGTTATCCCTTGAGCGATCTCTCTCCCGATGTCTCTCTCTTGAACGATCTCTGTTCCTCTCTCTAGACCGCTCTCTAGATCGATCCCTATCCCTCCCCCGATCTCTATGATCGTAAGATGCAGATCTGCGGTAATCCTTTCTTGGCTCCGGTGACGGAGTTGTTGACATGTCCGCGGCGAACGCTGAGGGATCCATGGCGGAGAGGCGGGCGTTGAGGTTTCCTGAGCTAGGAGGTTGATAGTTGGGTGGCGGAGGGTAATCTAGAAAAAAATAAAGTATTTTGAAATGCAACTTAATGGTTTAAGGTTTATTATTTTCAGTCCCCTGGGGGGATCAATCCATATTCAGGGGACATAAGTTCATCATTATCAATCTGAACACATAAGTTCATTATCATCAACCTGAACACATAGTTCATTATCATCAACTTGAACAAATAGTTCATTATCATCAACCTGAACACATAAGTTCATTATCATCAACCTGAACACATATGTTCATCATCATCAATCTGAACACATAAGTTCATCATTATCAATCTGAACACATAAGTTCATTATCATCAAAATATTTATTTCTCTCTTAAAACCTAATTAGCGATAAAAGAAACTTTATATATATGGCCGCTTACCCCCAAACTTCATATATGGGGGGGGGTGGGTGAGATTCTTTACCTGGAGTACCCGGCTCGTCATCATCAGGTAGTTTAAGTTCCATCTCGTCCTCTGCTTGTGGTGAAGGAGCATCATAGTCTGGACTAGGTACCGGGGACTCTACTCCTATACCAGGGGGAGGAGGTGCTGCAGGGATAGATAAGGTTGGAAGCTTCTCCTCCAGTTTCATGTGCACCTTCTTCACTCTAAACAATATCCAGGTCAAAATTTAAATGCAGAGGATAAAATTGGTTCTATTAGATCCAAGAAACTTATCTCAAGATTTCGTATGGGTTGGGGATGATGTTAATATGATCTTAAAATAAATGCTGTCTTGAAATTACTCCCCAAGTCCCTCTTAGAGTAAAAACGAATGATTGATCAGAAGTTTGATTGATTGATTGCACCTGTTTCCGAAATTAGCGTATGCTGTGGCGACAATCTCAGCTTCCCCATACAGACTATCATAATACTTCTTTCCCTGGGTTAACAACTCTATCACCTAAACATTAACAACATATAGAAAGTAATCTAACTTTCTTTAGTTTTTTAATTAGGATCCGGATTGGAAACATCTTTATTCTTTAGAACACAGCATCTTATGTAAACTTTGAACAAAATTCTAATCTCTTACACACGACTATCGAGTTCCTTCTTACGTCTTTAAAATTACCCAATGGACAAACAACCATGTTAGTCTCATTTGTTGATGGATCATGAACAATGCAATGCCTTCATAAATCAAATATGACAATTAAATTAACAAAGAAATATTATATTTTATTTATCCTTGACCTTCGGACCTGTTTCCTAAGTTGTGACCTCCCGCTCTATTGCTTTGATAAAATGACCTTGACCTGCTGACCTGTTTCCTAAGTTGTGACCTCCCGCTCTATTGCCCTGATAAATGACCTTGACCTACTGACCTGTTTCCTCTTTGTGACCTCCCTTTCGATTGCCTTGATGAAATGACCTTGACCTACTGACCTGTTTTCTCTTTGTGACCTCCCGTTCCATTGCCTTGATGTAAGCCTCCATCCTCTTGGTTCCGTCCTCAAACTGAGAAACATATTCGTCTCCACAGGATTTGTCCTAAATTTAAAAAAAAATCTTTTTAAACAAGAAAATGCCGGATTTAAATACATATCAAGTTTAGGAAATAAACATAAAATATCATGTAAACTATGTAATGTATGGAATAATAATAAAAAATTGATTTTTGGCATTTTTATATAACTGTTTGTTGAACAAAACTTATATCTGAAATTTTAAACCCAACTTTTTTTTTATATTTTATATTTCAAAATAAGAAAGATTTGCCGTTTTACTTTCATCTTTTTTAAAAAAATTGAATTTATTTCAAAAACAATTTTAGTCAACCTAAAGTAAAAAAAAATTTCCCAAAAGTTTGTTGACAAAATATAGAATTTTGATAAAATGAGTCTGTGTCCATATTGTACCTTGAGTTTGGTTTTGATTGCATCAATATCCTTGAGTTCGTTATCATTCTCCTTTAATGTTTTCAGTTTATAATCTGCATCATCCTCCAGAGCTTTCATTATCTTTACCTTAATATAAACACGAATATATTGGTCTGGTGCATAATTTTCTCAACAAAATTTCTTTGAAAATGAACTGATTGTCTCTAGCTCTGATACATTATAGGAATCAGACAGTAACAAAGAAGAAGGATTTTTTCGGTTTTTTGTCCGGGAACATCACCACAGTGAAAAAAAACCAAAATAAAACAAAATAAATTCTTTTTCATAAAAATTTACAAATAAATCATAAAAATTTACATTCAGGCTTAACCCCTTTCGAGGCTTAAACGCAATTTACCAGAACAGAGAGAAATTAACTCAAAAGTGATGGGACTGCCGCTGTAATTTGAAGTCACTCTATTCAATGAGTGCCATGCCCGATTCACAACAATACCCTTTAAAGGTAGAGACCGGCTAGACATGGTATTTGAGCTGAAACTGCAGTATTGTAGAGAAAAACTTAAGGATTCATTTGATATCAATGAGACATTTTTGCGGTATAAAATTTTATAAATAAGTCGTAAATGTAATATTTCACCTGTTGTTTCAGTCAGAAGAGGAAACTTTTTTTACTTTTCTTAAATAATCGTTTTTCCCAAAGGTAGTGACCGGCAATGTATGTTAGTGTAACCAGGGGGATGCAGGGGGGCAGGTGCACCCCCATTTCTTCTGAAAGGGGGGTGCAATGAAAAATTTGCACCCCCCCCCCCTTAGTCCCATTTAAAAGAAATTGTTTCTCATAATCTTCTAAAATCTAGTTATCAATTATATAGCCCAAGTAGGAATTGATTCCCTTCCCAAACCAAATTATAATCTCTGTTGATTAAACATAACACAAAATCTTAATTTACTCATAGTCACTCATTAAATAGTTGTTAAAGCCTAATTAAAACAGTACGTTTTATTAATATATGCATAGAGTCCCATGGAAATGGAATGATAATCTCCTGTACGCTTTCAGACTTTTTGCCCTCCGCCTTGACCCTTGAAAAGCTTTTTTTAAATGAATAAGAAATGTGAAAGTAAAAGCTCAAATACACTTGTTAAAAGGTTATTTTGTATAATTTGTAATAAAAACAACCATTTACCACTGTATAAACAAACCAAGCATTGTAAAAAAAAAAAAAAATCCGACTGTGGCGCGCATATGCTGGCTACGGGCCTGGTTTTTACGGTGCATATTTGTTCATCAAGAGCACAAATTTAATCTTTTTAAAATCTTAATAGATTGTTCATTTTTGAGGGATGATTTTGAGAATCGGTATCTAAGAAGTTATTAAATAAAGACGACGAAAAATGTAGTAAAAATTCTACAGTAAACTAGTTAATGTTTAGGAACAGATTAAGAAAATAAAAATTAACTATTATCATCCAAAATAAGTAATCTTTTTCAGTTATTAGTTTATGTAATGTCTCATTGTTCACAAACTTTTCTTTAGATTTCCTGGAATTTCTATTGAAAAGACGACATTTGAAGAATTTGAAGAAATCTGCGAACAAATTCATAAAGAATACGAAATTCAATATAATGATGAAAAAGAAATACTTAATTCTAACATTGATTTATTTCAATGATACAAGTTCATTATTTTCTCGACCTGTTTGTATGAATGCAACTAGTTTGTAGAATAGTATTCGTTACATGTTTCGTCCATGGTATTAAAGAATTATAAAAAAAAACGTTTCTTCTGCTGACTGAACTACAGATGAAATATTACAAACGACTTTACGTTCTTATTTAAAATATGCTAATCGTTAAAATGTCTCATTGATGGTATCAAATCAATCCAAGTTTTACTCTACAATACTCATAGATAAAGATAGATTGAGCATAAGACGACATTTTTCATCTTGAAAGATATAAATGTACAGAGATGTTTTAAAGATATTCCTATTATATAATTTAACTAGGTCGGTTGTAAACATTGGCTGTTCTTATGTCATTGAGTACTTGTGGTGTACATGAGTTCTGTAGAGAGAAATTTAAGTTAGTTTAGTCCTTCTCATGTCCTTCTTCAGTTCTCGTTAATATGATATATTGCTCAGTGAAATATTGTTGTTCAAATAGTTCCATTCCCGGAGTTATTTTACACTCTATTATGAAATCCATTAAAAACACCCCCCCCCCCTGCGTATCATTGAAGTACACTTTGACCCCTAGAAGTATGAGTTCGCGGACTGTACAATTCTTGGTGATTTTGCGTACATAAGCTATCTATGTTTATTTATTTATCTATGACAGTACTGCACTTTCAGCTCGACTACCATGTATAGTCGGTCTCTCCCTTGATGCCTTTCTATGATCTAAAATTTGAGCATTTCTGTAGCAATATTCATTCTTGATCAGATTAACTTTTAAGGTTACCGTTGTGAATCAGATATGTAACTTTATTAACGGAGGTTCACTGGAAGTTTCGTAGGCAGTCCCTTTGAAACTTTTCTAAACCAAACGCTCAATGGTTTTAGCTCACCTGTTTACAAAGTTCAGTGGATTGAAAGTTCTCGATGATCTCCTGATCTTCCTTTACTGGTGTCATATCTATCAAAGCGGTCAGCTCCTATACACATTATTATGAATATCAACTGATTGATCGATTGTGTTTATTTATATTTTAATGAAATTTTTTACTTTACTCTCTTTTATTAATCAAGTAAAGTTCTAACAAATCAAAACAAATCAAACCAGACTTCCAAAGGTCCATACTTAGGAGTTGAGCTGACTATTGACTATACAAAATCCAAAATTAAGCGTGGTTTTACAATTTGTAACAACTTAAAATTACAAAAGGATTTGACCATAATTCTACCTTTATATACTCCGAGTCGAAAACCACTCTTTCGTCCCATATGGCAAGACATCGCTGTACCTAAAGATTATATTATAGATATTTTTCAGAGATTTTAAAGAAAAAATGTGAACCTTAGGTCGACAGCTAAAAAAGTAAAAATTCAAAGCGTTTTTATAAGTATTCTTAGAGTAGTAAGCTGTTCAAAATTTGGAAAAGGAAGGTTAACTGTCTGTGCTTTTTTAAGTCGATTCTAATGTTTCTGTTAAAATAGACTAAGGGATTGTTTATGTTTGGGGGAAGGAGGGTACGCCTCCTCCTTACAAGCCTAGGTTGGGGTTGCTCCCTTGGCCCCCCCCCCCTCTTGTATACACAAATGTCTGTTGATTACCTTGTATGCAATCTTCTCCTCCTTGAGGTGTGGCATAGCCTCCTTGATCGCTCCTCTGAACTTGTCCAGCAGCTCCGTGTACATCTTCTTGGAGGCGTGCTGGAGGACAGGCGGAGTTTTTTTTTGAGGATTTTCAGGGGTACATTTTTTAAGAAGTGGGAGAAACGATTTTTTAAGATTTTACCCTTTTTTGATACTTCATGATTACAAAATCATTTGTTTACCTAAACAGTCTCTTTTTCTCCAAGAAAAACTTGGTAATTTTCGGACTACATTAGAAAACTTGTGTAATTTTCGGACTACATCAGAAAACTCTTGTAATTTTCGGACTACTTAAGAAAACTCTTGTAATTTTCGGACTACTTAAGAAAACTCTTGTAATTTTCGGACTACTTTAGAAAATTTTTGTAATTTTCGGACTACTTTAAAAAACTTTTGTAATTTTCGGACTACATTAGAAAACTTTTGTAATTTTCGAACTACTATAGAAAACTTTTGTAATTTTCGGACTACTTAAGAAAACTTTTTGTAATTTTCGGACTACATTAGAAAACTTTTGTAATTTTCGGACTACTTAAGAAAACTCTTGTAATTTTCGGACTACTTTTGTTAACTTTTGTAATTTTCGGACTACTTTAGAAAACCTTTGTAATTTTCGGACTACTTTAGAAAACTTTTGTAATTTTCGGACTACTTTAGAAAACTTTTGTAATTTTCGGACTACTTTAGGAAACTTTTGTAATTTTCGGACTACATTTGAAAACTTTTGTAATTTTCGGACTACTATAGGAATTTTTTGTAATTTTCGGACTACATTAGAAAACTTTTGTAATTTTCGGACTACTTTAGGAATTTTTTGTAATTTTCGGACTACATTACAAAACTTGGAATCATTTATATAGTAAAAATAATAATTCCGTCCCTGAACAATATCGTTGACAAGGTAGAAGAGAACAAGCTTCTGCTCTACGCGGACCTTCTTGATCACCTGAACAGGAACAAATTAAAGAAGATAAATGTAATGTCTATTGTCTATATAGTTCTAAAACAATTTAGATCCATTGGTTTCGCTGTAACTTTTGTAATTTTCGGACTACTTTAGAAAACCTTTGTAATTTTCGGACTACTTTAGAAAACTTTTGTAATTTTCGGACTACTTTAGGAAACTTTTGTAATTTTCGGACTACATTTGAAAACTTTTGTAATTTTCGGACTACTTTAGGAATCTGCAAAAATATGCAGAACCAGGAAAAAATATCAACCATAACATTAACAGAAAACACCTTTTGCGCTCAAAACATCTTTTAGAGTGTCAACTTTTAACTTGGAAGTTCTCATTTCAAAATTCTAATGCCCTTAAATGGTGAAGCAAATTCTTAAAAAAATAGAAAAATAACGTAACTTTTGCAGGTTTATTATTGATGACACAAAATTAACAAAAAAGAAATTTGCATACGCTGGATCAGGATCCATTTTAGCATGACGGATTCGCATCAAAACGAAATGTTTTTTTTTCAAAATGAAATACATGTTCACCCTGGACAGTTTAGTTTCTTATTCATTAAAACATGCCTTAGATTTAGGATTCCTTATTAAAATAATATAACCTTTGTCCAGCATCTTGCCATCTTGTAAGCAGATTTCCTGTTCTTCATACACCATCCCGAGAAGCCCTGAATACGCCATTTATTAAGGAATAATTATTCTTATTAATGATTTTTTGGTAATTATCTCGGTTACGTTTTCTGGTCATAATGATAAGAGTGGTGAGGGGGTCAAAAAGCATTCTACAAGGACGGACCAAAAGATTTAAATGCCAGAAAGGTGAAAAACATTAACAAATTTATTGTTATTAGCTAATGCCAAGTTGCAAAGCGCCGCGGCTAAGACAGACTAGAGGACGCTGAGCTGAGCACAACGGCTAGGACAGAATAAAGGGCTAGGCGCTGTGGCCAAATATTAAACTATTCCAAAGAGTTGCATGTAAGACGATCATTTCCAAAATGATGGGTGGATAGGGAGGGGGAAGGCTTACAGGGGCTGCGCACTTCAGTTACATGTCATTACATTACAAGAAAATTTCTTGGGGTCAAAAAAATCATTCTCTAGAAAACTAAGGGGGCGCCAGGTTTAAATATTACGTACGGGTCTGTCCTAGTATATTATTTTTGGACCCTACCCCCTATAAATTTTGCAAATGACTACTTGTTTTTCAGCAAAAATATTATTATTTATTTATATTATAATTTTTAGGTTAGGTTAAGACAGTTTCTGGGCCGAGCGCTGCGGCAAGGACAAGTTAGGGGGGCCGAGCGCCGCGGCTTAGATAGGCTAGAGGGCCGATCGCTGCGGCCATTAGATAGGCTAGAGGGCCGATCGCTGCGGCCATAAAACCAATTATATCCATGTGATACATATGAGATCCATATACAAACTTGATAGGCGGGGGGGGGGGGGGATTTACTGCCTCACCTGAATAGACTCCTGTGTATCCTTTAGATTAACCAAAGCTTTCATAAACTTTTCTTCCTCAAACTTATCCTCTCCCATCTTTAAAGTCGCATTATCTGATAAAAATTGAACGGCTCCATGTAAATCATGCAAAATTATCTTCATCGAAAAGTAAGAATGAAGAACTGTCACTGCAGTTTGCATCGGTTAATGATGGTAAAATTTTGAAAATAATTAAATTTTGTAAAAGTCCTTGAAAAGAATATTTCATAAATATTAGAAATCTAAGGGTTAATCGATCCATAGAATAGTTCCAAAACAATCGCCATGTTGTCGGAATCCATAGAATTGCGCAAATGCCCGTGTAAAGAATTTATAGATGTCGTCTTTATTTTTCCGTATTTTAAAATTTGGTGTTAGCATGCCCCCCGGCCTGTGGGCCACCGAGGCCCCCTCCCCTAATCACTTTAGCTAATCCACAGCATTTGAACTATTTTTGTGTCCATTTAAACTATTTTTTGTCCATTTGAACTATTTTTTGTCCATTTTTGGCGCTGCGACCACAAGTCCATAGAGCAGCTGCATATTACGTGCTAGTAGGTCGGATGTGTAGTACAGCGGATTTGGCGTAGGTCAGAAGTGGAGTATAACGGATTTGCGTAGGTCGAAAAGTACATCACCATGAAAAAAAGATGCTACGAAACTGGCCTGGACAGCCTGGACGCGGGTTCTGACCCATTCATAATTAGCATAGTTATTAAAAACAATTTTTTTAAATTTAATCTTCGTGCGTTTCTTCAGATTTAATTCGATTCCAATTGTCTGAATCCAACCTCCGAACCAAAAGCAACCAAGGAGGGGCGTAAGGATTTTCTAGAGACTATAATGGAAACTGGGAAGTATATATTTAGCGTGAAAAAAGTCTATATTCCCTCCCTTAAAAATTTCCTGACTATACCCCCCCCCCC